AGCGCGGGGAGAGCCCGGCCTGCAGCAGCCCCTCAGCCCCACAGATCGACCCCCCAAGCCCCTTGTCCAGCCCCACAGGTGGACCCCAAAAGGAGGGCTTGGGAGGGGGGTCACGGGCCCTGCTGCCTCAGGGAGCCCCCACGATCAACACGGGGGCTGGAGGTTTGGGGCTCCCCCTCTGCCCGGAGCGCTGGGTGAAGGGAAAATGGGGGTGATGGTGTCTGACCTGTTTGGAATGTGCTTATCCCCCACAAAAAAATCTCCCATGGCCCCTGTGCACCTTGCTGCCACTTCCGAGCAAAGGGAGGCTGAAGAAAAATGCCAATAAACATTAAAAGCTGTCTGCTTGCCATCACAATCAAACAAGTTGTTTTTTTGTTGTTTTTTTTTTTCCTAGCATTTTTTTTTCCTTACACTTAATGCTCAGAAACCTCCCTGTGCCTTTCCTTTGAGAACTGATCCAGAAAGACACCCCTTGCCCGGAGCACATGTGCCACCCCCGTAGCCCTGCTCCATTTGTCATCCACCACCTGCAGCCCCACACAGGACAGTGTCCTCCCTCTGAGTTCACACAATTCCCCTGGAAACCGGCGGGCTGTTACGTGCTTAAAACTGCTTTGGCACCTCGTTCCAGTTGACCTGTTCACCGTGTGAAAAGCGACACGGGCAAGGTCTTAATTGCCAGGTTGAGGTGCCAGGAGGAAATGCTGATATTGTCAGAGATCTCACACTGATTGTGAGGAATGGTCTGGCATTACAACATGACTTTTCGGAGTAAGGGACTTCCTTGTAGCTGACACTCTGTAGACAGCACATGGAATGAGTTTATAATTTAGCCGAGAACTGTGTTTTGCTGGAGCAATTCTAGGCTTCCGCCCCCCTCCTCTTTGCAGGTGGCCTAACACAGATTAAAAATGGAATTCATGCCTGCTGCCTCTTGAGCTGTAAAGAAAGGGAATATATTCAAGTAAAGCTTTAAAATATGGATTTTGTGCATTTCAATCTTCCTGCTAAAGGAGATGTAAGATTTATACAGTATATAGATCTGTGCAGAGAGTTAATCACCTATTTTAAAAATCTGGTCTTTCCTTAGGGGAGAAAAGCAATCTTGAATTGCTTAAGAAAAAATTAACATTTGCTATGCAGCAGATTATGTTAAGGAGAAGAAAAATACTTATTTTCACTTTTAGAAGTGAAATAGCTGTACCTCTAAGTGGGTGAAATGGGCTTCTTGAGATTGACAGCTTTAGGAATACAGTGCTATTCAGAGACAGGATAACATGCGGGAAGACGTGTGGGTCGGAGATGGAGTTTGCATTCCCTTAGTAACAACCAGCTCAGTTTGCTCCAGCGTCTGCCTCTTCCAGTTAAAGTGCTTGGGGTGGGTACCTCAGTCTAGCTGCAGCTCTCGGAATGACGAGGCTGCTCCCCCCTTACCCAGGGTCTTGCACCCCGTGATCTTACTGATGATGTTCAGCCTCTAATCTGTACATACGAAACTCTATTCCTTGCCCTGTGGTCTTCAGGGATTAACTTTAATGCCTTTAAGTTAAGAGCTCACTGCCACAAGTCCCCTGTGGTGGGTTCTTCTGTTGGGGTAGAGTGTAGTGAGCCCAGGGGAGCTCTATATAGGCACATGGGTACCCAAATTTGGTTGTAAAGATGAAGCAGAGTTTGCTTCTTTGCTTTTGTGTCTTTTCTGTCACAGAATCATAGAATCATTAAGGTTGGAAGGGACCTCTAGAGATCATCTAGTCCAACCCCCTGCACATGCAGGGTCACCTAGAGCACATGGCACAGGACTGTGTCCAAGCAGGTTTTGAAGATCTCCAGAGAAGGAGACTCCACAACCTCTCTGGGCAGCCTGTTCCAGTGCTCTGTCACCCTCACTGTAAAGAAATTTCTCCTTAAGTTCCCGTGGAACTTTTGGTGCTTCAGTTTTTGGCCGTTTCCTTTAGTCCTATTGGTGGCCACTGAAGGAGGCTGCCCCATCCTCTCCACTGCCTCCCTTGAGGTGTTTACATACACTGACCATCCCCTGACCATCCCCTCGCAGCCTTCTCTTCCTCAGGCTGAGCAGGCCCAGCTTTCTCAGCCTTTCCTCATAGGGCAGATGTTCCTGCTGTCACCAGCTCTCTTCCTGCCCCTACCTATTAATTTGTCTCTTATAGTATGGACTGTTGCCCAGTTCAGCTCTGTAGTTCACAGATAAAAAGCCAGCGCAGTGCACTGAGCTGCTCTGAATTATACACAATTGCACTGACAGACACTTTGGAGCCAGGAGCAAGATACTTCCAAACCAAACAGGCCACCGCTCTGCAGCGATCCCAATGTGCCCTCCGCAGCGAGGGCAGAGGGAAGCCCTCGCTCCCTCTCTTCCTTCCCTGCTGTCCTCAAGCTCTTGTGGTCCGAGCGGTTTGGCTCTCCTGTGGTTTTTACCAAAAGGGTAGAGCTGAAGTTACAGCTCTTAAAAATGCCATTTTGCACAGACATTTACAGATGCATCAGGAAAAGCAGATGACCTTTCAGATTGCTTGCTGTGTTTATTTCAAGGCAGATAAAAGAGCAGTAAATAATGAGCCAGGACAATTTATCTCTGAAGAGCCAAATTAAGTTGAAATTTTCAAAATAAAACCTATTGCAAGACACGTGATCCTGTGAGTTGCAAGCATTAGAGCAGAGAAACAGAAAGACCATATTGGTAACGGCAATAGCTATGGAGCTCCTCCTGGAAGTATTTTTGTGTATTTGAGTATTTGTATGTGAGGTGAGGTATCCTAACTAGCTATCTCACTTCCTCCTCACATTTTCATAGGAAAGCAACCTTTGAAAAGCCCAAAACCACACATTCAAAAACCAGACATTACTCGTGAACCTAATGGCCTTACGAAAAGGGCCTGGGCTTTGCAAACTGCCCTCCATCCCTGCTAATCTTCCTGCTCCAGCTGTGCTGAGAGATGAGCCACAGGTTTCAGGGAGGGAACTGACGGACAGCGCTGGCAAGATACTGGTGGGCTCCACTACACGGGAAAGGCCGTCCCAATCCCAAACCCTCCCTCAGCTCTACGGACGCAGCAGGGAGGACAGCATCCATGCTGCCCGCGGAGCTCGCACCGTGCATGGAGGCAGATGGCATTTTTTGCCTCTCGGCTCCCCAACACGTCCTCGACACGCAGAGCCCTTCCTTGAACCCCTTCCCGCACATGGTAGTACCGCTCTCGGCGCAGCTGCCCCTTTTCCCCTTCCCCAGGGCTGCGCTGGCAGCGCTCTGTTCGCCTGCACCTCGTGTACCCACTGTGCTGCAGCGGGGTCCCCCTGGCACAGAGCTCTTCCACCAGCACGTGCCTAACCTCAGTTGTCTGCTTTGGCACATAAGCCTAAACCTGAGCATAAGGGAGGAGAACAGTCAGCACAGAGGGAAGAGTGCAAGAAACACGGAGCCGTCTGCCCACAGGTGTTCCCCAACAAGCCCGCGTAGCACCACGGCAGAACGACACTATGTACGAGAGAACAGGCGACCAGCGTGCAGAGAAGTGTAGGTGTTGTAAACGGGGAGAGGTGGAGATGCTGGGAGCCCGGCACTGCCATCTGCCTTGGGTTTCAGCTCCCGTAAGAAGAGCTGCTACCTTTGCTAGAAAGACTGATGTTTACACTCCATGCAGACACCGTGTGCCAAAGGCAGCAGCATTCACATTGACGAGCTCAGCGAGGCACCTTGCTCAGGACTGCAGCTCCCATGAGGGCAGCTAAAAACAGCTGGTAAAAGATGCAGATTTGGGGGTGTTTACTGGGAGTCTGCAGACAGTTCAGTTGGGCTGACCGGAGCAAAGGATGGTGCAGACTGAAAAGTTACGCCAGGAACATGAGGAGTTTGAACCTCTTCCAGCAAGGGCAGTTGTTGCACATCCTGGCAACTGTCCCTCTCCTTGTGTACCGTTAGCCTTGAGTCAAGTGTAGCAGAGGAATGACCAAGACGGACAGTCCCATTTGCAGGCCTACAGCACTACAATTTGATCAGTGACTGACATTGTCCCACGGAGCACTAGGACCTGCACGAAGCAATGAACTAGAACATTTCCACAGAAAATTCAATGAATTTAATAGCAGATTGTCCAGTGATTCTAAAGGCACATCCAGAATCTGAATGACATCAGAGACTCACACCTAAAGTTAGAAGTCCGTTAATAGATCCCTAACTTTCATATATTGATCCACGGCAGATATTCCTGTCTCCCTATGGCAGAGGGCTTTAACCAAGCAAAGGGATGCAGTTTGTTCCACAGAAGCCTGCACCATTAGCTCATGCACTTCCTTACACATACCTTGCTGTTATGTCTTCCAGTACATCGGGAGCTTGGATGTTCCGAGGCCCAACAGCCGCGTGGAGATTGTGGCAGCCATGAGGAGGATTCGGGTAAGTTCAGTAGAGTCCCATGAATCCTGTGTGGAATAGGAGGCTGTATTCACTGGAGCACAGTGTGTTCTTTGGGCTTTTCCCCTCACCCTTCCTCTGTGGGAGCTCAGATCTCAGCAGTGAGGATTGTAATGTGCTTTTCTAGAAATGCCCAAGGCATGCAAGGATCAACTCATCCCTTGTTCTTTGCAAAGGGATCAGTCATTAAAGCTTGAAGAGAGTGCCCTAGCTCCTGCCGAGAAGGTGCGAGGATTCTCCTGGAACCTTAACAGCCTTATTTAGCCTGTTCTTTCTTTTCTGTGAAAGATGAGACACGCACAATCTGCCCCACAAAAGCTCTTGAATTCATTGACTGGCTCCAAATATATCCCATTATTATGCACATTGAAATTTTACTGGCTAGCAGATAGGAGGGATGTAAATCCCATTGGATTAGACTTTGTGGATTCTGCTGCTCATGGAACAATTTGCTTGTTTTTACCCCATCCTCCATGCAGTCCTACAGTTGCTGTTTCTCATCAGCAAGTCTCCACTCTTCTTCCTTTAGCCCTTTATTCTTCAAACAGTCTGTGAATGGTCACCAGATTTAGCTGTGATCAGCAGCGTAGCTAACTTAAATCTGTTTTCTGTATACCCAGTTCAAGCATATCTACCCCGTAAGGCAGTGCTGCTGCTATGCCTGGCTGAAGTTTTGCAGAGGTCTTAATTTTGAGGTTGTTCATGTGTCTCGCATCAGCTGAAGCAGGTTTGAGTATTGTCTGTGTAAAGCTTTGAAGAGATTATCCCATTCACACCCCCCCACCATGTTTAAGCATCTAATTTTCATTTAGAATAGTGCTTTTTAAACTTTGTCATAACCAGCTGGGGAGCTGATATATTCAGCTCCAGCCAAGCACAGAAGTGAGATTCTTTGCTCTTCCCTGCTCATACTATTACCCACTCTTGGTCGGGACACAGGGCGACAATCCAAATTGTCTCAATATTTATGGAACAGGTGAGCATCCACAGGATGCAGGGGCAGGTGGTGAATAGTCCTGGGCAATTTAGATGCCGATGTAACTACTGGTAAATTCTGAGCCGAATCAAATTTTTGCCTTGATATTGTGTGGCAAAAGTAACTGCTGATCCTTGAGTAAGTAACAGTCATATTAAAAAATAAATAAGAGTTTTAATACTAGTTCCTAGAAAATGTGAGTCTGCTCTCAGACCTGCTATTGCCATGATGACACAGTGCCTATCCTGAGTCTCAACAGCGTAAGACGCTTGGGTGCTACGTGGAGCATAGAACAAACTGCCCTGCATTCATGGGCATTCATGCCCATCAGTTAATCTTATCACACAATATTTTGAAGTAGGCATCCTGTATTTTCTACAGGGTTTTTAATCTTGGAAGCCCTTTCCAAAGGGGGAGGGCTTCCTTTTCCATGTGTGTATTGTACAGCAGGATCTCATTCAGGCACTTCCTGGCTGCTGAGCGGAAGATGCTCCTCTATTGACGATAGTTAATTGGCACTGATCCTTAATTAGAGCATAAAGAATGAACTGGGAGGTCTGTAAAGAGAATTCTAGTGCACAGAGTACACAACCTAGGACTGGAGGGAAGATGGGGTTATTCATGCAGTGTTCATTTGCATGCAGAGGCCCTGTCTGTGCTAACGTTCTTTCCCATGGACTGTCGGCAGCGCTGGTTGTAACGGGGAGGAAATACTGGAAGAAGCCATTGGTAGAAGCTTGTATTCTGCTACCATCTTATTGTGAGGGGTAGTGCCTATTTGCACTGCAGAAGTGAGAAAGGTCCTGCAAGCCCTGCCAAGCGCTGGCAAGGACACGTTTTGCAAGAGCTTTCATCCTTTGTGCACACCAGTGTTCGGCTGGAATTCTCTACGGAGCGGAAGAGCCGCGCCACACAGCGCAAGCCCCGGCGCGACGTCCCCTACGCTGCCCCGCGACACGGAGCGACCTCAGCAACGGGGCAGCCCGTGCCGGGAGCCAGCAGGCCCCGAGGGCAGCCCGTGGCATAAGCAGGTTGTTGCTCACTGCCACTGCCGCTCCAAAGCGGGAGCAGGGAGGAGGGCGAGGAGCCGCAGCTCCTCTCTGCAGACAGTGCAACCCCTTTATTTTTGCAGGCTTTGACAGAGCTGGTTGCTCTAGTTACTTGTTACTAAATCAATGCAGGCTGTGCCTGCCTCCTCCCACATCTGATTCTGGTCTCTGCTTAGTGATGAAAAGCTCTCCCTGTAGGACAAAATCCTGAGCTGGCCTCACAGTACAGACAGAGAGTGAACACGGTAAGGCAAGCAGCAACTTCACAACTCGTTAAGCCTGCTCCATGGCATCGTACTGCCATGGTGTTTTGCACTGGACTCCTTTGCCACTCACGTATGTGTCATGCTAGAGTGCCTGCGAGGAGAAACTCGGGGGTGTTCTCCACTCACCAGCAGAACACAGGTATGGGGCATTGCTCCCACAGAACCTCAAAGGACAGGTTTCTCATTAGCCTGCTGAAACCATGATCTGTTCTTTTGCAGTAGGGATCTAAGAAGCACTCTTATAGTAAAGCTTAAATCCAGATTTCTTGCTGAAAGGATGCTTGTGGAATTACTGGCAATACTCCATTAGTCACAGTTTTGATTCCCATTTCATAACAGACTGGAAAACCTTGTCTCATCGTGTTTGTGCTTCCACTTGAGAGGATGCAAAGGTAGAACAGGGAAGTTGCTGTTCTTGATTTCCCATTATGCAGAGCTAGACACTAAGTTTGCTAATCCTCCCAGTGGATTATTAGCTCTGTATAAGCTGCCATGTTATTATATGATCCTCAGTTCAAGCTAATCCCTCTACCTCCTCTTGTCCTGTCAGAGGAGGTGATGAAATTGGTTTGCTACTTGAATAAGCGCTGCCGCCCCGTGCTCCGACAGGCACGTCGAGTTCCAGGAGCTGTTTGTGCGGGTGGAACTCGCGGCGCGGGCGCGGGTCCGGGTGCGGAAGGCATTCCCGCGCCTCCGGGGCGGCGGGAGCCTCCTCCGGACGGAGGAACAGCCTGCGCAGCGGCGCAGTCTCCTGCTGCTGCCTGTGGCCATCCAGGCCTGGTGTGACCCTACTCCCTCCAGCTTCTGCTCTCACAGGCCGTTTTCTCATGAAATTGCCTTTTTTTTTTTCCTCCCTTGCCTGAAGTGGACTCATCTGCAGATATTTGAGCCTCCTCCAAACTCTACGGAGCTTATGTACAATACAAGATTTTTCTTTCCGCAGAAGTCGAGTGGCAGCTAGTGTGAAGAATGCAGAAGTCCTTTTCAAGAACTTTTCAAATAACTTAGCAATATGGTCACCCTAAATTTAGGTTTTCCCTAAATACACGCTTCTTGAAAGTCTGTTAGAGAACAATGAGACAGCCAAGTTGTTCTCACAGTCAGGTGAAGGCTGTCGCTGAAGAGGCAATGGAGAGATGCTAAGAGGAGAGATGTGGAGCCCAGGCAACACTGAGGCTACAGCAGTAGCAGGAAAGCTTTGCTAAGGACGCTTACAGTACAGGGCTAGGGGTAAAGAAGAGTTTCGTAAACCACAGGCATTTTCTTGAAGAGCCTGAGGTTGCTTGGAAAATCTTGCCCAGGAAGAGCAGGGAATGGAGGGCTCTGTGCAGAGGGTTAGCATAGCAACATCCCACGCATCCTTTCCAGCTTCCAGAGACTTAGCACCCACAGAGGAGAAACAGTCAGATAACTCCCCTCCTCGGGCACACTAATCCTTGTGGAGCACTTCCCGGCCAGGTAGGCAGCCATGGGGAACGGCTGCTGTTTGAGGGCGAGTTGTCCAAGAGCGCTGGAGTCGCGTCGGAGCCGTCATGCCCACAGCTTGGCCTCTAGCCAACTGCTCACAAAGTCACTCCATTTAATTACCTTTAAGGCAGAGAGTTGGTTTACCCGCGATTTACACGTAGGATTATACCAAGCTTAAAAATTCCAGGCTTGTTTGGAAGATCTGATTAGTGACTGAGCAAATATTAATGCTCAAAGGCAACCAGAGGTTGGATGGTTTGATTTAATCACTTCACAAGCGAACAGCCTCCTGGATGGGCACTGCACCAAGCACTGGGATGAATAAACAGGAGACAGGCATGCAGGCTAACACATTTCTTCTGTTACCATCATATTTCTTAGTTCTAATTTAATTGAGAAATCTTCTTTTCCAAAGGCCACTGTGCCAAAAAGCAGAAACCATTTATAAAACTTACATCAGGACACAGCAGAAATGTCCAAGTTGTCCTTGGAGCAGGAACCTGGTTCTTACTCAAGTCTCCTCCTCCGGTCCTGCTAGTTCTTGCTGCATTCTTGTTCTTAAGCAAGGCCTCAAAAGTCTTCCAGTTTCTCACTGCAGTATTCTAGTGAGGAGGGATTGCAGTCTTGGTTCAGGAGCCAATACAGGTGCCCTTTATCTGCTCGTGCTACAGAGAAGAGGAAGCAGCTGGGGAGCTGGGGGAGGGCCAGGTGACCATCTTCAGCCCTCTGTTTAATGTGTCCCTGTGCAGCCAATACAGGTGCCCTTTATCTGCTCCTGCTGCAGAGGAGAGGAAGCAGCTGGGGGAGGGCCAGGTGACCGTCTTTAGCCCTCTCAGTTTAATGTCCCTGTGTGGAAGGTCCCCAGAGGTAGAGATGTTTAATACAGTTGTCCATGGAACTCTTCTAGAACAGGCTCCCCTTGGTTTTCTTAGGCAGACTCCCTTCTTACGGCAGGTGAGAATCTTGGCTGTGTAGATTCCCCTGAAATACTCTGCCTACAAGCCCTTCCCAAGCTGTTATGCTTGGAGGGGCGGCGGCTGAAGCTCAGGCCCAAGCGTGGCAGATCCCTGAGCAAAGTGCTGGAGCGCTCGCCCTGCCATAGGCCCGTGTAGCTGCGTGCCAGGATGTGGTGGTGTTGGACGGGAGCTCGTGCTGCTACAGTCCCTGGAGGGCTCTTCTTTTCAGCCTCTTTAGGAGAGCGTCCAAGTGCTCAGCTAATGACAG